GATTCAAACTGAGACTGAAGACCTTTCCCAATGTTTATGAACATAGACTTCTCTTCTGAAAAATACCTGTTGTGTGTATGTGAAAGAGTGAGAGAGAGTACTAAGTATAAAATGTCTTGGATATGACTCTCCTATCAGTCGCATGAGCGGCAGATATCTCCTCCCAGTTTGTGGTGCATCTTTTCACTTCTTTCTGGCATATTTTGAAGAACAAAAGTTCTTAATTTTAATGGAAGTAGTTTCATCAGTCTTGTTCTTTATAGTTTTTACTTCTAGTATCTTGTGAGAAATCCTTCTCTTCTACAAATCATGCATTACTGCTTTCTAAACTTTCTGTCATCTTACCTTTCATATTGAGGACGTTCATCCAATTGGAGTAGGTTTTTTGTGCAGGGAGTGAGGGCAGTTCAGTTTCATTTTTGCCATAACACCTTATGTTGAATAACCCACTGTTTCCCAGTGGTCTGCAGTGCAGCCTCTCTCAGTTAAGTCTTCCTGTATGTGGGGGTCTGCTTCTGCTTAGGGTCAGTTTGTCCTTGAGCCAACACCATACGTACTCTGAATTATTTGGGCTCCATAATAATTCATAACAATAAAGGAAGTTCCTTCACCTTGTTCTTTTTCAGGCAATTTCAGCTAGATTTACCTTGACAAGTTAAAAAAAAAAGGTTGGAAATTTGGGAATGTCTTGAATCCTTGACTCAGTTTGGTGAGAACTGACATTTGTCTCACAGCAAGTTGTCCAACCCATGGGCGTGGCATCCATCTTTTTTTTGTATAGGCCTCTCCTTTAATGTCTTTTATTAAAGTACTTGCTTATCTTTTGTTAGATTTATTCCTGGTTCTTTTATTACTATAAATAGTACATTTAAGATTTTTATTTTCTCACTGTTCATTAGTGTGTAGAAATAAAATGTTTATGTGGATTTTGTTTCCAGTAACCTTATTAAATTATATTAGTAATTGGTTTATCTCTAGATTCTCTGTATTTTCCTATATAAACAATCATATCAAATAAATAAACATTCCAGCACTTTGGAAAGCTGAGGCCAAAGAATCACTTGAGGCCAGGAGTTCGAGACCAGCCAGGGCAACATAGTGAGACTCCCTCTCTATTAAAAATTAAAAATAAATAAACAATTATATTATTTGCAGGCCATGACCTTTTTCTTTCTTATTTTTAATTCAAATTCATTTTATTTCTTTTTCTTCTTGTACTGGCTAGCACCCCAGTACTATGTTGATTGGTAACAATAGTGGGCTTCCAACCTTCCTCTTGACATGAGATGCTTTCTGGAAAGTTGTTGGCTTTTTTTTTTTTTTACAAGCAAAGTTTATTAGAGAAAGAAGAGAAAAAGGAAGCTTCGTGACAGAAAGCCCTGCCATGGTCAAGTTTTTCAAAAAAAATCTGCCTCTTGGGTTTTTTTTAATAACCTTTATGTTGGCTAAGGAAGTTCCCTTCAAACACTAATTGCTAAATCCTTCTTTTTTTATAAAAGCCGTGAATTAATGTTGAATTTTAATTAAGTAGTTCTTTCATATCTATTGTGATTATATGATTTTTTTCCCTTTTAACCTGTTAATGTGCTAATTTCTGTTCATTGTTCGTTAATTTTTTTTAGTAGAGGTCTTATCTGTAGCCCAGGCTGGAGTGCAGTGGCACGATCATGGCTCACTGCAGCCTTGACCTCCTGGACTCAGGCGATCCTCCCACCTCAGCCTCCCAAGTAACTAGTACTATTGGAGTGTGCCATCACGCCCAGCTAATTTTGTTTTTTTCATTTTCATTTTGTGTTTTTTGTAGAGACAAGGTCTTGCTATTTGAGTAGACTGGTCTCAACCTCCTGGGCACAAACAGTCCTCCTACTTTGACCTCCCAAAGTTCTGGGATTACAGGCATGAGCCACTGTGCCTGGACTGTTCACTGATTTTTTTCTAATATCAAACCAACCTTGCATTCCTGAGATAAACTCAACTTGGTCCTGATATATTCGTGTTTTGTTGTTTTATATTAAGCAACCCTGTCTTAATATTAGTGTGTTTATACATTGCAAGATTGTTTATAATTTGTGTAGGACTTTTGCATTTTTTAACCCACAGTAAATTTGAATATAATTGCATTCTTGTTCATGAGTGAAATTGTCCTCAATGTTATTTTCTCATTTAGTTCTGGTCAGTTTTGGTTTTAAGATTATTCTGGCCCCATAAGCTAAGCAATGTTTTTGGTTTTTCTGTTCTATGAACTAGTTCGTGTAAGGTTGGAAATAAATATCACTTGAATATTTGATAGTACTGCAAGTAAAACCCTTTGGATTGGAGTTTTATTTTTAAATTACTGGTTCAAATTTCTTTACAGTTATAGAAATGTTTAGGTTTATTTTTATTCCTGTTGGTTTTTCTATAATTTGTCAATTTCATCTGTTTTTAAATTTATTGGCATAAAGTGTGTCCATTACATCATGTTGGTATCTATTATCTGCATACTTGCCATTGCTCACTAACATGGTTTATAACTTATTTTCCTCTTTTTTCCTAATTGATCTTACTGGACGAATTTATTAATGTTTTTAAAGAACCAACTTTTGACTGTCTTTATTTTCATTTCTGTCCTATTTCTTGCCCCCTGCTTTCTTAGGGTTTCTTTTGCTGTTTTTACCCCTGACTTTTGAGATAGATCTTCTGTTCTAATATAAGTAAGGCTATGTATTTCTAAGTACTGCTTTAGCTACATTCCACAAATGTTGATATATTTCCAGATCTTTGGAGGTGCTCTGGGCCTTTGGCTTGGCTGGTTTGGGTTTTTCACTAGTGAACATTGAAGACGAAGTGAATGTGAGATGAAGATCTCAGGCTTTTGAACTTTACGATTCTTTTTGTCCCATGTATTTCCTAGTACTTTTTCTTTCATCATTTTACTTCATAGCTCTCAGATGATTTCAGAAAATTCTTTATATTTGATCCTAGATTTTTGTTTAATTTTGGGAAGAGGGTTAGTTCAAATCAGCACTATCTAGTAGAAACATGTGTGAGCCATATATGAATTTCCAATTTACTAGTAGCCACCTTTAAAAAGTTAAAAAAAAAATACACCAAAGCAGGTGGAATAATTTATTTTATTTAAACCAGTCTACCAAACATGTCAACATGTAATCAAGGACAAAATAGAAATGTGTTATTTTGCATTTTTTTCCCTACTAAGTCAGAACCCTGGCCCGTGGTTTATACCTACACCCCATCTCATTTCACATCAGCTGTGTTTCAGGTGCTCTGTGGCCACCATGTGGGACAGTGCAGGTCCAGGCTGCCCTCTTAGCCAGGTGCCATGTGTCTACTCTTATCCCCACCAGCCTGTTGTCGATCTGATAAAATGCACCCCTGAGGCGCATGGCGCCACCTGCAGTCCTGCCCCTTCTTGAACTGCAAGCCTGTTCACATCCTTGCCTGCTCACAGGGCCACATGTGCACACACGTGCTGGTGGTAGGTCTTTCTTCGGTGGGACAGAATCCTGGCCACGCTGTTTCCTGTCCCTTCTGCCTGCCAAAAACACCTGCAGTCTCCAGGAGGCCCTGCGCACCAGGTCTCTGAAGCATGTCCCATAGCCTGCTTACCAGGGAACTGTATGTCTCTTCAGCCAAGGCTCCTTGAGGACCAGGCCTTGGGTTTCAGGGCTCTATGGCACTGCCAGAACCAGTGCAGAGAGACAAGAATGAGGGCAGGAGCACTAGCCCAAGCCTGCCTTCTGCTTGGGAACCGGGGTGGGACTGGCCACACCACAGGCACCAGAGCTGACATGAGGATGAGGTACTGTGTGGGTCCTGTGTGGGTGCAGGAGCTATGAGCAGGTACCTGCTCTTACAGCACGGCCAGCCCCTGACACTGACAAGGATGGGTGCATGCTCCAGTGAGGCCCTCCTGCCAGGGTGTCAGTCCTGGGTGCTGGGATACCAGATCCTGAGGACAGGTGCCCAGCAGGGAGGGTATGTGGCCTGGGCAGAAGTGATGTTAAGGCTGTTGACACATATTTCCAATTGGTTGTGCTAGTCCACACCCCACAAGCTGGGAGCACTACAGCTGCTCTAGCGTTATTAGGGCTGGTTTTGAGTTTGACTCTGGGTGTGTTTGTCACTGTTTGCGCCTGGGTGTGTTTGCCAAGGAGTTTCACTGTTTGCGCCATGGGGCCGCCTGTCGCCTGGTCCCATGACGAACAGTTGGAGTGCCCCACACAGCTGGACTCAGCAGAGGGGCAGTATGGGAGAAGTGAACACCCTCCTTAGCACAAAGCAGGACTACAGAGCCCAGTGTGGGCTGAGGAAGGGCAGGCATGAGCACCCCATTCCTTGGGCCTTCCTCAAGCCAGACTGGGCCACCCAGGCCCTGGGCAGAGGCTTCATGTTTCCTTGTGGGCCTAGTGGGCAGCACTGAAGCGCCACTGTTGCCCAGAGCACCTGCCAGCTGGGGTGGCCTCTCCACCACACCCCCCCCACGGGTATAATTAGCGCTATGACAGGTGCTGTGGATCGGGTGCCCAGCCCAGCCCTGACCCAGTGCGGCCTGGCCTCGGCCGACCTGTCCTACCCCCAAGGCCCTGCTCAAAGCTGACCAGCCTCCCCAGGCCTTGAGCCCTACCCACCTTCCCTGGGCTTTTTCCACGCCTCCAGGATGGGCAGGCCAGGATCTGGAGGAGGAACCCAGAGCCCTGGGTTGTAGCCTGGCCTCAGGCACTAGAAATCCTCAGGCTGTCCTGGTGCTGCCCTCAATCCATGCCCAGGGTCTGCGATTGCTGAGGGTATCTCATGGGTGGATGAGGTGGGGGTCCAGGTGGAGCCAAAGTGACCTGGTGGCCTCAGCCTTTCAACAGAAAACCTTTAGCATCTAGACTCAGTGGGCAGAGCCTGCAGGACTAGTGGGTACTTCAGGGCCAGGTGTGGCCCTCTCTGCCCTCCCTGTGCAGTGCTGCAACCTCTACCTGGCTCACCAACTGTGCCTGTTCTCCCCACAGTGCAAGAAGAAACACACGCTGCTGTGCCCCGACTTTGCTCGCAGGGGTGCATGTGCCCGCGGTACCCAGTGCCAGCTGCTCCACCGCAACCAGAAGCGCCATGGCCGGCGGGCATCTGCATCTCCTGCCCCAGGACCCAGTGACGCACCTCCCAGGAACAAGGCCTCAATTGGCCATGGGCCCAGGTGACAGGGCAGTGGGTGCCGTGTGTGCGAGCTTGGAGTGCCCCCCCCATCCTAGGACTCACTCAGGACCCTCTGGGTATGCTCCTACCCCAGCTTTTTGGGCTCCAGACCCAGAAAGAAATCTTCATCTAAGCCTGAGGACCAGGTAACCTCCACAGACCTGGGTCCCTGACGCTGAACAGAGCCAAGGCATCCCTAGAAGAGGAAGGTGGGAGCTTCTTAGAGACCCCCTTCATAAGAAAGGGGAAGAAGCCCAGCCTCAAGAAGGGGTCTGGGGGTTCCCATATCCTGCCACCTGCTGTACAAGTGAGAGCCTCGTGGGGATAAGGAAGCCAAGGTCCCTGAGTGGTGAGGGTTGGGCTCAGTGTGGAGCCAGATTCTCCCCACCGTTGGCCTGTCCTTAGGGCTGAGGGCCGGGCTCAGACCTGGAGCCTCCCTGGATGTCAGCACCCAGTGGCTACTGGGGCAGGAAGTGGTGGAAAGGACAGGGGCTTTGTGGCAGGGATGGCATGTGCAGGTGGTCAGCAGCAGTCTCTAGAACCCTCCCCCATCCTGAGCCACCCCACCTCACATGTCTGCTCCCTTCCTTCCCTGCAGGAAACCCTTGGTTGCAGAGCGCCCTGCCAGGCAGACGCCCAGCTCCCCCAGCCCCACAGCTTCTACCCCAGCTGCCCCTGCCTGTTCCCCAGGGGCGTCAGCATCAGCCTCTTCCTCTCCCTCGTCCTCGAAGGCTTGCCCCTCTTCCCCTTCCTCGCCCCACTCCTCCTCCCCCACTTCTCCCTCCTCGGACCAGGAGGAGCCATCTCTCCAGGAGGAGACCACCTTGGCGGTGACAGGCTCCGGCAGCCTCTGCAAGCTGCCATCCTTCATTTCCCTGAAGTCCTCTCCAAGGCCAGGAAGCCAGTCCAGAGCCCAAACCCCCAGGAACCCTCTTACCAAGGACTCAGGTAGGCAACCTGGCTCCTCCTGAGCCCAGTTCAGCTTAGGCACAGGGGTCTGTTAAATGCCTGCCCCAGACCCACGGAGTCAGAATCTCCCAGTGGGGCCTGAGTGAGTCCAGCAGGCGCCGGTGTGCACCTGCCAGCCCAGGGGCAGGGCTAGCCAAGGTGCAAGCATAGCAGTGGCCGCTGCTCAGACCACCCCAGCCGAGGGCTGATTTAATTAGAAAGCACCCATTTCTGTTAATTTGTTCTGGAAGATCACCGCACACTCCTGGAGAGAACAGATGTTCCCTCTCCCCCGATGAACATTTGGGGCTTGGTAAATGGCTCCACTCAGCCTTGTTTAGGAGAGAAAAGAGGATTTTATGGCTGCAAACGACCCTTTCTGTAAACATTTTACAGCTCTCCGCGCGTTTGAGTGACGATAAACCCCACGCAGCTCGGCGGGCTGCAAATTTGCGACCATACGGCTATCATTTTATTGTCATATTTCACGGTCGTAACGTTAATGGAAGATGCTTGCTGCAGCCTTCTCTAACAGCTCCGCTGAGCACGCTCAAACGCCTGCCGCGGAGGGGCCGCCTCCTGTTTACAGCCTCCACGTTAGGGCGCAGAGCTGTGGCCAGACACCACACCCCAAGGACCGGGCACCAACTCCCTCCATCTGGGTGGGCCCCTCTGGGGTGGAGAGAGCAGATGGGACCCTGAAGCAACCACCTCTTTTTAAAGATCTGGAGCCTAGCAGCCAATTCCAGAACCAGAGGAGGTGGACAGGGTGCTGAGGGGTCCTGAGTGCAGGTGGACAAGACTCAGAAAAGGCCCCAAGACCTCCACTGTCCAGCCAGGACTGAAACCTGGAGGGGTGGGTGGAGGCAGGCCTTAAGACTATCTCTGGGCAGGAAGCTGGGCCCACCCAACTCATAGCTCTGAGGGGTGAGTGTGGTCACCCATTCCCAAAGAGGGACCTTGGAGAAAAGGTGGCTTGCAGGGTACACTGGGGTTTGCTGTGCCTGTGGGCAGCCACATGAAGGCATCTCTGGTCAGTGGGACATGTGGTGCCTATCAGGCTCGGGAGCATTTGTGGGGAGGGAGGAGAGGAGGACGCTGGTGCCCAGTGAATGTGCTCTCCCAGGGCAGGAGCCCCTGGGATGTGGCCCTCTGTCCTCAGGCCCCTGCTCAGGGGAAGCACTCTTCCAGCCCCTCCTGCTTCCAGGCCCTGCCAGCCTCCCTCTGCGTGGGGGCCTCTGCTCAGTTCCTGCCCCCATTCAACCAACTGCTGTCACACCCCAACTTTTCACACTGAAGGCGTGCGGCCCGCCTTGTGTGCGTCTGGCAAGCTTGTTCCCAGGTGTGAGCATGTGTGCACCTGGTATTTATAGCTCAGCCTGCAGACATTGTGGCTCCCACCTGTGACCCTGCCCATGGCAGAGAGGCTGCCCAGGCTACTGCCTGAGCCTTGGAAGGCCCCTGGTCTGAAGGCAGAGGCCCAGGCCTGCTGCTCAGTCTCTTTCCCCTGTCGACCCCATAGTCCAAGCCTACACCATGGCTAGTTGGGCACAGAGGCTCACTGGTTGCAGCAGGCAGGCAGTGGCTAAGAGCCAACAGCCTGAATATAGCCACTCTTCCTTCTTTCTAACTCGGGAGGATGTCTCTTGCAACCCCTGCTACACAGGCCTGGACTGACAGAGCATCTCCCATCCTGAACCCCAGGCTGGGAGCTTTGCAGGTGGAGAGGGTCTTCCTGACACCTGACCTTTGTCTCTCTGCACAGGGAAGCCTCTGCACATCAAACCACGCCTGTGAGGGCCCCGGGGACCAGCCACACCTACCTCAGACCCTTGTTCCTGGAATGGAAGGAGGCTCTATCTGCCATTCTGCCCCAGAGAAGGGGCCACAGGGGCATTGCCCTGCCCACATGGCTTTCAGCCTTCCATGACCAGTGTGTGCCCAGGACCTTGTCTTTCTCCCTTGGGCAGGGCCCCTGTCCAGCCAGCCCTACTGCACCCCCTGCCTTCCTACCCCTGGGCCCTCAGCCTCACACCAAGGACTTTCCCCCAGTCCCCCACCCTTTGAGGGACTGTCCCCCACTATGGTTACAGTAGCAGCCCTGCAGTGCATCCCCTCAAACCCACCCACCTAGGACTTCTGCCCGGGGAAGAAGCCACTGGCCAGGCCTCCCTGGTGGGCATTTTATGTTCAGCAATAAAGGTTCTTTCCTGTGTCTGGTGACTTGTCTTGACTATTACCTTGTGGCCCTGGTCCTAAACAGAGACAGCAGAAGGTATAGCCTGTCTGAGCAGGAGCATCAGACCCCACTTTTCCCACCTCCTGGGGTGATTCAGAGGGAGCCTCTCCCCATGGCCCAGCCAACATGATTTGGGGTGGGGGAAGGTCCAGGAGGGGGCACTCTAGGGACATAGATGCAACAGACCAGGGCCATAGCCAGGAGCTGGAGGGCAGGCCCGGGCCCAGCCTAAGGGAGGGACAACTTGTCCAAGTACCCAACTTTCCCCTCCACCTATAGATGTGTCCAGTTCCGGATGTGTCCAGTTCTGGATGTGTCCAGTTCCGGAGGCCCACCCTGGGGAGGTCTGGCTAAGGCTTGTATTCTCTGACAGGGATCCTGGACAAGGCAAGACCGGGAGGGATGTCTGCCCCCCTAGTCTCCAGAGAAATGAGGTATGGCCCCTGGGTGAGGCAGGTCAGCAGCCCCACTCCAGGATGACTTCTCTGCACCTGTGCCGCTGTATAGCAGACAATCCCGAGCAGCCCAGCCTCAAGCTCCCCTTGCACCTAGGCCTGGAGCCCTCTGTCTGCCTGTTCCAGGGCCAGGGTGAAGGGGCAGTGCTGGCTGGAGCGCCACGCTATGCACATCCAGTTCAGGCCTCTGCCAGCTCCATGTCTCTAAGGGTTCCCTTGGCCAAAGTTGGCCCCTTGGCCTAGTCCACACTTTGGCAGGAGGGGCGCCCCAGCCTCCACCAAAGGATGGGATATCCTAATTCCAATGTCAAAGGGGACAAGGGCCAAGGCTAACTTAGGGAAGGGTTCTGCCAAAGCAAATGCCCAAAAAATAGCAACTGCTGCTTTTAATCATTTCCACAGTGGTTGTCGCTGTTACCATTACCTTGGGTCCCTGGGCCACAGCATGTAACCTGGACTCCTGCTGCAGCCAGATTCAGTAGGACAGTGGATTCTAGAAGTAAGAAAAGCCACGCTCCACCCTATCAATAAACTGAGTCGAGTCCCACTGCTGGGCCCCCAGCCAAGGCCAAGCAGGGACTGTGGATAAGATGTGCCCAGCTCGCTTCTGCAGAGCCTGTTCCCTGGCCTGCACTGGCCGGACACACCCAGGGTCAGATGTTCATGCAGGCTTGTGTCCTTACTGGGCTACCCCCTTAGCTCCACCCTTCCTCCTTCCTCCTTCCTCAAGGAGTTCAGGGAACCATGAGTCCTTTGATATGCACTAACAAGGGGAGACTGCAGAAATAGAGGCTGCAGCCTGCAACAGCAGATGTCCTGAGGCTGACGGTCCCGGCTGGCAGGAGCAACTTCCCTGGATGGCCAGAGAGGAAGCAGCAGTCAGCAAAGGTGAGGCCTTGAGCCATTTCCCTGCATCTGAACCCAGGGAAGCAAAGGGCACCCTTAGGGCCATTCAGCAGCTTCCCTGGATGGCCAGACAGAACCAGCAGTCAGTAAAGGTGAGGCCTTGGGCCATTTCCCTACATCTGAGCCCAGGGAAGCAAAGGGCACCCTTAGGGCCATTCACAAATATTCATTTTGGGCACCCACTGAAGCCAGCCAGCCCATGGATGGGTACCTGTGGACATTGCCTGCAGGGCTACCTCAGCTTCATGCCTTTTTCCTCCATGAGGCTCACCATGAAGGGCAAACCTTTGACAACCAGTTGGGGCTGGCCACAGGCAGCTGACGGACTAAGGCATGGTCATCTCCCTGCCTCCCTCCCAGTCTTCCACATAAACACATGAGGGGTATGTGCTTACACCTCAGGCTAGGCTCTGGGAACCCAGGTTTTGAGGGTGAGAGCAGGTGGACATGAAGTGGGCAGAACCTCGAGCCTCACGTCATGCCACTGGCAGGTGTCCACTGCAGGCGGGGCTCCTGGCAGGTTCGATGGGCTGTTGGACTCACCTGTGGGTGGCACTGCCCTCATTCACTCTGATACTGACATACAGTTCCTGAAACGTCCATGGTGGGTGAGGGGCAGGGAACAGACTCCCCATTCGCCCACCTCTTGACAGGTACCATAAAGACACCCACATTGAGGGCCTGCTCTGCTGGTCCCACCCTCACCAGAGGGACAATACTGCCCTCCACCGTGCAGCAGGGCACACCAAGTACCTCACAGAGCCACACGCAGCCATGCAGATCCCACTGTCCCTTGATGCAGCCTGCCTTCCGGAAGCACCAGCAAATAGACTCAGGAAGGGCTGGGCACTGCCTCTGGGGGTTGCTATGGAGCCTTAGTCCCCAACATAGGGACCTCGTGCATCCCTGGGCTCAGGTCCCTGCACGTCCTCTGAGCATAGTGTGCCCATTTGTCACTTCAGGCTCCTCAGGCCAAAGGAGCAATGGGCAGCAGATAAGTGACTGTTCTGCCAGGGAAACTGACCCAGGAGGCCGCGACCCCGGTAGTCACTGCCCTGCAACTCATCACTGTCCTGTAGTAGTGACTATGACCCCACCCTGAGGAACAATCTGGGTAGAGCCTCGGGGAGGAAGCTGTGGCTGACCTCAGGCATCCACCAGACGGAGGCAGATGATGTGGACTTCAGGCTCCCTTAAGACTCTCTTTTCTTGGGTCTCTCCAGAGAACATGGCTTCTCCCGACCCTAGACCCTTCCCTCTCAAGGCAGGACATGAGCATGGGCTAGTCTTGGATAGCCCAGCCCAGGGCTTCCTGCTAATACCGAGGCTGGAGACACCTGGCATCTTTTGGCACCCACATGAAATTTTGCTGGGGACAGAGCCCACCCCATCCTGCATGGGCTGCCCTTGTGTGGTAGGTCATGTGGCTCTTCAGATGATGGCTGCAAGGTTGGGAAGGGGTTTCTGCCTCTCAGGAGAGTGACAGCATGGTGACGGCCTCCTGAGGTCTTCCCTGCTGGGATGGTCAGAACAGAGAAGGCCTCCCCAGGAGAGGAAGTCTAGGTGGAGACCCCAGGTCTATACAAGCAGTGGAGTGGTGTGGGCTGGTGGGACAGCTGGATGGAAACCTTGAAGCAGGAATACTTGGCAGTCTTCACAGCTCAAGGCTGGAGGTACCCCAAGGGGGGGCAGGGCCTGGCTAAGTCTTGAGCAGGGACTCTGCCAACCAGCGCCCAGCTGATGGGTTTTCAGGCTGTTGCCTTATTTCGGGGAGGTGGGAGCTGTGGGCAGAGTTGGGGGCCACAGGGGAGGGTGGATGGGCCTTAAGGGGCTGGGAAGCGACAGAAGGGAAATTGTCTTGGGGGAACAGCTGGAATCACCTGCACATTCCTAGGCTGGGCCTGCCCCCATCCTGTCTGGTCTCCAAGCTGCACCCAGCAGAATGGGCATTCCAGGAAGACAGGGAGCTTGGGCACGTTCATGGCTGAGTGTGCACCCTGAATAGCACCTGGCATACAGCAACTGCTCCATAAGGAAGGGGGGAGGGTGGAGCAATGGACAGGCTGAGGACTCACTCCCAGGAGGCCCCTGGGCTTTGTTTTATCTATCTATTTATTTTGAGTTGAGGGCTCTCTGATCATGGCTCAACCTCCTGAGCTCAGGCAATCCTTCTGCCTCAGAAGTTTTTTTTTTTTTTGAATCGGAATCTCACTCTGTTGCCCAGACTGGAGTGCAGTGGCCGCTCCCGGCCACCGCAGCCTCGACCTGCTGGGCTCCGGCGATCCTTCCGCCTCAGCCTTCCAAGCAGCTGGAATTACAGGTGCACGCTATCAGACCCGGCTAATTTTTTGATTTATTGTAGAGATGAGGGCTCACCAAGTTGTCCAGGCGGGTCTCGAACCTGCGGTCTCAGGCAATCCACTCACCTCAGCCTCCCAAGGCGCGGGAAGAAAATATTTTTGTAGGGACAAGTTCTCACTATGTTGTTACCCTGACTGGTCTCAAGCTCCTAGGCACAAGCAATCCTCTCTCTTTGGCTTCTCAAAGTGCTGGAATTACAGGTGTGAGCCACTGCCCAGGCTGCTTCATTTAATTTTTTTCCCTCTGAAGGGATTTTTTGGGGCCTTTTTTTTTTTTGAGTTGGAATCTCACTGTGTTGTCCAGGCTGGGCTCCGGCGATCCTTCCACCTCAGTATTCCAAGTAGCCAGAACTACAGGTGGGCGCTACCACGCTGAGGTCTCGCCACGACGCCTGGGCTGATCTGGAACCCTCGGGCTCAGGCAATCCACTTGCCTCAGCCTCCCAAAGTGCTGGAATTACAGGCTGAACCACATCGAGCTCAGCCTTTTTTGGCTTTTTAAATGCAAATGAGCCTCTGTGTGGAGATGGGACTTGCCCCTGGAGGCAGCTGGCTCGCAGTTGGGAGAGGGGAGGAAAGGCAACTCCAGCTTGGCCCCCTGCTCTGGGGCTCAACAGCCCCAAGCCCAGAAGACTCAGAGCCTGTCTGTGGGACAGAGAAGTTTTCCATTTCCCGTGATAACTTTCATGCAGCGAAGCTTGGCTCAGGATGGCCAGGTACTCCTTGCTCAGGCTTTCCCACTGAAGAAACATGTCCAGATTTCGCACATGGTTTAAATCTGTTCAGTGCACTTTCCGATGGGGTGTTACAGTGTGATTCAGAAGGTCCACGCCCTGT